GAGGGCCTACCTCATCATTGGAGTCCTGCATAGCTCTGCTGGGTGAAGCCATATCACTGGCTGTGGTCTCTACTATAGTCAATCCGGTGTCAGTCTTCTGCTATGACTCCACAATTGTGGCTCTTATTGATGTGATCTGTACTATTCTGCATTTGGAGGATCAGCATGTTGTTTCCAGTCGCAGGTCTTTCAGAGATTCTTCAGATGTAGAGATTTTTCCATTACACCTGTTCCTTCAAGTATTCTATAGAAATATCCTGACATGCTCATAGACACCACCAATCACCTACTGGAACTGGACTTGTTCCTGTTTTGAAAGGATTTGGGCAAACAATGGTTTACACCAACTATGGACCCGCCATGGCTCACCATAACTGGGAAACCACTAGAAGTTTCTACATTCATTAAATTTACCCTGATGTTCTGCAGTTGGAATCCCTCTGTAAAGTCCAGTTGGTTGCTTGCTGGCTTGCCCTTCCCTTTGGCACATTTTAGCTGAGACTTACATTTGTCCAACCATGGCAGAATAGTCTCCATCACTCGAGATCTCCACTGCAGCAGTGGAGTATTTCCTTTACACATTTTGTGAAGTGTATGGCTGTAGGGTTACCCTTTAGCTGTGATGGCCTGATGGAGGCATCTTGGCTTGTCTTCTGTCAATACACACACATGTAGCACTCTTACAATGCTGGAATTCAGACACTGCCTTTAAGAAGCTCTTGGTCTTCAAAGGAAGTCTCTTTGGATCCACCCTTGTCATTTATTATCACAGATATCACCGGGGGGCAAGAGGACCTACCTGCCTTGACATAAGAAGTCTACAGAAAAATCATCTAAGTTTCTTCCCTGTCTTTCCTGGACTCAGGCGTAGGCATGTCTAGGCCTCCAAAACTTGGTTCTTGGGCCACCCGCAAAGTCTGCGTTCATAAGTCTGCTAGGCCCACAGAGAAGCCCTCATCGTTATGAAGGTGCAACCACAACCTTCCTGAGCTCCATCTTCAGCTTCTCACCTTTAACCTTCCTGTGCCACTGCACAGATTAGCAGACCTACCTCGCCCCTTTAGGGTCTCTTGTCCCGAGGGCTCCTTGTGGTAGCTTCTGTGCCAGTTTAGTGTCAAAAGCTGTATCCCAATCTGGTCACCATTCTCTTGCCCAGAGAAAATGTCTGCCTCTATTTGGAAGTGTATGTCCAAAGGTTTTGCATGGTATCTATGAGATCTACCATCCCCTTTATTTCCTGGAGGGACTCTGCAGTCAACGAGGCAAGCAATACAGTATGTCACCAGCACACCAGGGAACTCTGTAAAAGGGTCCATCGTTTTATTGACTGGTCACATCACAGCAGAGGATAGCAACATTTGGAAGTCATGCAGTACCCTTCATCAGGCATGTGACCTTGAAGTCAATCTAGTCTCCAACCAGTGGCCACTACAGCACTGACTTACTTTCCAGCCATTTTCAGTATCGTGTGTTGGGATTATTGCTTTGGATTTATCTGTGGTCCACTAGGATGTGTACCTACAGTTCACTGTCCTTCCAGGGCCCTTGCTCTTCAGTCATGTCCCTGCATCCTAAGTTTTCTCCAGGGTGGTGGCCTCAGTGTTTGCCTACTGTAACTCCCACTGTGGGGAAACTTAGAGGACCTACTGTAGAGAAAAACCATCTGTGTGGGTCCTAGTGGAGGTTCCTGACCTGAAAAACCAGTCTTCTCCTTCTGGGGTTGAAGAAGTCTTCTCTTCCCCCCTCCTGGAAAATCCTGCTATTGGAGAATTCAGACAATGTATTTTGGTAATCATATCTTTGGTGGGTCTCCTGATTTGGATCCATTTCTACAAAGTCATGGTGAAGGCATACCTCTACCATCTAGCAGAAACAAACGAGATCTCGGTATAACGAGACGTAGTTGGGATCCAGACTTGGACAGATTTGTGTATTTTAGTCTTGTCCGCTCTTCTCATCTCAAGTGCAGTCTACTAGATATCCGGTTTCTGTAACTGGTTGCTTCTGGACTGATGGAGTAGGCCTATTACCTGGGTGCATTCCAGGACCTTTGTTGCAGGATGTCATATGGGGACCCCATGATACCCTGGGTCATCTACATGTCTCTTGGTGTAGGAATCCACTGGCAGTAACGGAATACACTGATGGCTCTGTGGGATCCACATACCTGGTTCTAGGTCTTTCCATTATCTTTTGCTTTACAGACTCAATAGGAAGGTCTTTCTGGCCTTCCCTGCTCTGATTTGACACAGACGAATGTTCTTTGCCATTCTGATAGGACTTCTGACCCTTGCTCCAGGGATTTCATTGGATCTGGGGAGTCAGGAGCATCTCCAGACCCATTACTTTTTTGAGACTCAAAGATAAGAAGGATACCCTTTGCCCCCGAGTTTTCTTTCGTCAACCAGGACATCATTCTCTCTCCAGCCTCAGCTGTTCAAGAGGAGATCCTTATTGACCGGATGGTCCCTGTAGGGAATTTTTTTTTTTTCATTCCACCCTTCTGGATGGATCTGGTAGAGCCACTAGTAGTTACTAGTTAATGTGATTGTTTTCTTGTTCTTCTGAGATCAGGCTTTGGTTCCCCATACTTGGTAACAAAAGCACTTGAACGGGACCAGGTGGTTACAATCATGTGCCAGCTTTGGGCATATGGTCCTTTTAGGTGGCCCCTGAGCTGCACAGGAACGTTGCCATCCTATGTTGGCCAGTCAAGATGGCTGAAGACCGGCATCTGGAACCAGCTGGGGAAAGGATGATGTTGAAGGACCTCAAAGGCGTTGGACTGTTGGAACAGAAGTAAGTATCTCTGCCTTTAGTCCCACTTTAAAGAAAAAATAATGTTGGGAACGTCGGAGGTAAAATGAGGTGATGTCCAGGCCTACCCTTGAATGCAACGGACTGACCTGAGAACATTGTCCTTCAGGGATGTCCTTCAGGGATGTCCTTCAGGGATGTCCGGAGAAGTTTCACTGTTGCAGGTAAATCTTCACACGTCTGTTTCTCATCTGTGTGGTGACGTTAGTTCTGCTAATCTACGGATTAGTATGGATGAGTTAATCCCATTTTATTGTAGATGTTCGATGTGTCAGAAGTGGAATTTCCAGAACGAGCTGTTACCTGCATGGGAGATTTGTGCTCCCGTCCCGGGTCACTGCAGGCAGCGACAAGCAAATTCACAGCAATGTTTATCTAAGGAATAAAGCAGAACCATCTAATTAATAATCATCAATAAAGCTGCGTTCTCCTGTCACCGGGTGTCACGTCGCCACCCTCCATGTTACTCCAGGAATAGATATGGCTCCACTCCAACCAATTCCTGCAATAAGTGAAATGAATGTCAGATGAATAATCAAGAAAACAACAATCTTCAAAGGTGGATCATGCTGGCCACCCACAGACAATCGTTCAAAAAACTTTCAATACTCGATCGTCTGACTTTCGAAATGCTAATAGGCTAATTGTGATTCTCAAAATGCAAAGTTTTATGGCAAGAAAACAGTCTGTCATGTCGGATTTTTGTAGCCTAAACGATCGATTTTCTAAATATTAGTATTGGAATCGATTGAAACCGTTTAGAAAAAAAAATACAATGCACTTGTGTGTTCAAATGTAACCCTGGAAGTACGAGCGACAAATAGATCATTCTCATGTAAATCCTGTATAATAATAAAGTCATTTCTAACTCCGCCCCAAACTACATCACCAATTTTGTCTCCAAATATCACCCAAACCGTCCTGTCCGCTCCTCACGTGGCCTCCTGCTCTCTACCTCCTTGTCTCCTCCTCCCATGCTCGTCTCCAGGACTTCTCCAGAGCTTCCCCCATCCTCTGGAACTCGCTACCCAAATCTATCCAATTATTGCTTACTCTGCCCATTTTTAGGCAATCTCTTAAAACCGATCTCTCCTATGATCCCCCACAGTTATTACCTTTTGTACCACTAGCCCCTCCCTCTTAGATTGTAAGCTCCCAGGAGCAGAGCCCTCCTAACCCTCTTGTATTGATCTGTACCCACCCCCACACCCCAGCTGTTTTTGTTGCTTTGGTTTTTTTTTGCCTTGTTCAGATGTCTTCAGGCCAGTCATGTGACACACCGGGTCCTTCTCTTTCGGTCCTCGTTCTCTGTGGGTCCTTGTTCACTCTGGGTCCTCCTTCTCTCTGGCTCCTCCTTCTCTTTGGGTCCTCCTTCTCTCTGGCTTCTCCTTCTCTTTGGGTCCTCATTCTCCATCAGTCCTGAATGATGCAGAGAACGGGACTGGAGTGATTATACCACAACTTGCTACATCAGCACAAAGTTAGTGCCACAGTGGTTCCCGCTCAGGTCGCCCCGCCACGGTGATTCCCGCTCAGGTCGCCCCACCACGGTGATTCCCGCTCAGGTCGCCCCGCCACGGTGATTCCCGCTCAGGTCGCCCCGCCGCGGTGTTTCCCGCTCAGGTCGCCCCGCCGCGGTTGTTCCGGCTCAGGTCACCCCGCCATGGTGGTTCCGGCTCAGGTCACCCCGCCATGGTGGTTCCGGCTCAGGTCACCCCGCCATGGTGGTTCCGGCTCAGGTCACCCCGCCATGGTGGTTCCGGCTCAGGTCACCCCGCCATGGTGGTTCCCGCTCAGGTCACCCCGCCATGGTGGTTCCCGCTCAGGTCGCCCCGCCACGGTGGTTTCCGCTCAGGTTGCCCCGCCACCGTGGTTCCTGCTCAGGTCGCCCCACCACGGTGGTTCCCGCTCAGGTCGCCCCGCCGCGACGGTTCCCGCTCAGGTCGCGCTCATGTGATGTCCTCAGTCTTCCATTGGCTGTCATTGATCCTGGAAGACTGAGGACACCTAGTGACGGAAAGGAATCACTGCGAGGGACAGCACCAGAGAAGAGGCGAGTGTTGCAGCCAGAGCTGCTCTTGTTTTCCGGTTCTGCTGGGGAGCTGTAGAAATCATTTTGTAAAAAGTTGGTCTTTTTCTCTCCATCTCCTAACAGAAGCCATACGTTTTTTTTCTCTTTTCAGGCCTAGAACCTGAGATCCAGAGACTCATCTCCAAACACAAGCAGGAAATCCGCAAGCTGAAGGCGCTTCACGAGGCCGAGCTCCTGCAGTCCGACGAAAGGGCCGCCATGCGTTATGTGCGCCAGGCCGAGGAACTGCGCCAGAACCTGGAGCGTGAGAAGGAGGAGCTGAGCCAGAGGGAGCGAGAGCTGGCAAAGCAGAGGTGAGCGCGGCGCTGCAGGGGGGAGGGGAGTCTCTACATTCAAGAGCACCTGTCACAGCTGGGCTAATGGAGGAACCAAAGACTTGCACCCCATTCACACTCGTGAGACGTGTCCTGAGACTTCAAAGTCACATGACAAGTCATGCTCCATGTTTTCCATTGATAACCGTTCATATATGTGTGACTTAAAGCAGATTTCTAGCTGCAGGAATATCATTCAGGCAAAAATGTTTAGATTGGATTGTGATTGGTTGTCTTAATGGAAATGTATCCAGGAGACGGCTACAGTGCGGTCAGCTAGTTCTGAGAGGGCATATATGGACGTCCTCCCAGAGCCACACCCCCCGCGCCCGGTCTGTGATCGCTGTGTCCTTTGGAAACAGCTGATCACATGACTAGAGAATGGGCCAATCACAGCTGATCACCGGGTAAATAGGAAATGCCGGTTATCATCAGTCCTCTCCCCATGCTGACAGTGCGAAAGGAGAGGAGAACCGGTAAGTGGCATTTTGCAGGGGGGTATCTACACTGACCATCAGGGCACTGATCATCAGTGTAGCCCCATCAGTGCAGCCAATAATGCCCATCAGTCCTGGCAATCAGTGCTCATCAGTGCCACCTATCTGTACCCATCAGTGCCACCTATCTGTACCCACCAGTGCCGCCTATCTGTACCCATCAGTGCCGCCTATCTGTACCCACCAGTGCCGCCTATCTGTACCCACCAGTGCCGCCTATCTGTACCCATCAGTGCCGCCTATCTGTACCCATCAGTGCCGCCTATCTGTACCCATCAGTGCCACCTATCTTTACCCATCAGTGCCGCCTATCTGTACCCATCAGTGCCGCCTATCTGTACCCATCAGTGCCGCCTATCTGTACCCATCAGTGCTGCCTATCTGTACTTATCAGTGCTGCCTATCTGTACTCATCAGTGCTGCCTATCTGTACCCATCAGTGCTGCCTATCTGCACCCATCAGTGCTGCCTATCTGCACCCATCAGTGCTGCCTATCTGCACCCATCAGTGCTGCCTATCTGCACCCATCAGTGCTGCCTATCTGCACCCATCAGTGCTGCCTATCTGCACCCATCAGTGCTGCCTATCTGTACCCATCAGTTCTGCCTATCAGTGCCGCCTATCTGTACCCATCAGTGCCGCCTATCTGTACCCATCAGTGCCGCCTATCTGTACCCATCAGTGCTGCCTATCAGTGCCGCCTATCTGTACCCATCAGTGCCGCCTATCTGTACCCATCAGTGCTGCCTATCTGTACCCATCAGTGCTGCCTATCTGTACCCATCAGTACTGCCTATCTGTACCCATCAGTACTGCCTATCTGTACCCATCAGTACTGCCTATCTGTACCCATCAGTGCTGCCTATCTGTGCCTATCAGTGCTGCCTATCTGTACCTATCAGTGCCGCCTAACACTGTCCATCAGTAAAGGAGAAAAATTACTTATTTACAAAACTTTATAACCAAAACGTTTTTTTTTGTTTTAAAAATTTTTGGTCTTTTTTAGTTTGTTTAGCAAAAAATAAAACCGCTGAGGAGATCAAATACCACCAAAAGAAAGCTCTATTTGTCACAAAAAATGATAACAATTTAGCCCGGGTACAGTGTTGCATGACCGCACAATTGTCATTCAAAGTGTGAGAGCGCTGAAAGCTGAACATTGGCCTGGACAGGAAGGGGGTGACAGTGCCCGGCAGGTGAGGGGTTAATGAATACAGAGCGGGATGACGTCTTATGTCTGCCTGGATTTTGGAATCTTCCTATGATTGAGGAAATCGTTCTTTATTGATCGGAGGCTTTGTGTGTCCAGGTATGAGAAGCAGCTGGTGCAGGAGGAGCAGTCCCTGCAGGAACAGCGCCGGCGTCTGTACAGCGAAGTGACCGAGGAGAAGGAACGGTTAAACCAGCAAGCTGCCAGGTGAGAGATCGGAGGGGGAGGGGCTTATATTACCTGAACTCCATACATGAACCTCTAAGGGGGGGGGGGGGGCATGGCCTTATAGAAGGGGGTGTTCAGTGATCACATAAATCATGCATGGCTGTCAGTGTGAACCCGGGTTACCTTCTCATTGGTTGTATGGCGTGGTGGTGGGAGGAGACTGAGCCACGTGTGTTGTCTTTTCTCATTGTTTTCTTTGGGGTGTCACACAGGCAGAGGGCGGAGCTGGATGAACTGAGGAAGCAGCTGGAGGATAACTGTGCCCTGGCCACCCGCGTGCTGAAAGAAGAGTACGAGAAGAGCAAAGAGGAGCAGGACAGGAGGCACCAGGTAAGCAGCACTTGCAGCAAGTCACAGGAAGGGGCGCTACACCCGGGTATGAGAATGCAATGATTGGTGGATGGTAGAGAGTTTAATCCTCCCTCCAGCCTCCCCTCCCGTCTTGCACAGCTGTACCGACTCCTCCCCTTCAGTCTTGCACAGCTGTACCGGCTCCTCCCCTCCCATCTTGTACAGGTGTAGTGGCTCCTCCCCTCCCGTCTTGTACAGGTGTACCGACTCCTCCCTTTCAGTCTTGCACAGGTGTACCGACTCCTCCCCTCCCATCTTGTACAGGTGTAGTGGCTCCTCCCCTCCCGTCTTGTACAGGTGTACCGACTCCTCCCCTTCAGTCTTGCACAGGTGTACCGACTCCTCCCCTCCCATCTTGCACAGCTGTACCGACTCCTCCCCTTCAGTCTTGCACAGGTGTACCGGCTCCTCCCCCTCCCGTCTTGTACAGGTGTACCGACTCCTCCCCTGCAGTCTTGCACAGGTGTACCAGCTCCTCCCCCTCCCATCTTGTACAGGTGTACCGGCTCCTCCCCTCCCATCTTGTACAGGTGTACCGACTCCTCCCCTTCCGTCTTGCACAGCTGTACCGACTCCTCCCCTTCAGTCTTGCACAGCTGTACCGGCTCCTCCCCCTCCCATCTTGTACAGGTGTACCGGCTCCTCCCCTCCCATCTTGTACAGGTGTACCGACTCCTCCCCTCCCGTCTTGCACAGCTGTACCGGCTCCTCCCCCTCCCATCTTGTACAGGTGTACCGGCTCCTCCCCTCCCATCTTGTACAGGTGTACCGACTCCTCCCCTCCCGTCTTGCACAGCTGTACCGGCTCCTCCCCCTCCCATCTTGTACAGGTGTACCGGCTCCTCCCCCTCCCATCTTGTACAGGTGTACCGGCTCCTCCCCTCCCATCTTGTACAGGTGTACCGGCTCCTCCCCTCCAGTCTTGTACAGGTGTACCGGCTCCTCCCCCTCCCATCTTGTACAGGTGTAGTGGCTCCTCCCCTCCCATCTTGTACAGGTGTACCGGGGAAGGCAAAATATAAGCAGACTAAAGGCACTATGAGGGGGTCCGGCTCTCCGGCGATGCTGTAGGAGGTGGGGGTGGGAAGGGGGCCGTGTGCCTAAGGGGTGGATTTACTATATGAATCATCCAGTGCACGCCTAGGCCAGGAAGCAGTTAAAGGGATTCTGACACGTTTTTCATGTAACTTCCTTGATTCAGAGATCATCGCGGTTGGGAGAATTCGGAAGATCCGCGTATTTAGACTGAAGTGCATCCAGAAAGACCTGGAAATGTTATTCTGGCATAATAATTACTTCTCGGAGCTTTGACACTCAGATTTCCAGCACAATTGTCCTCAGCCTGGCTTTCAGAGTGCCACGTCTGGACTGGACCTATGAGGACCTTTGGACACCTAGAGCCACCTAGAGTACCTTCAGACTCCATTCTTTTTAAAAGTTTGCTGCAGAGTGCCTCCCAGGCCTGAGCTGTTGGCATTGCAGGAGCAGTTTTCCTGTCTGAAGACTCCGGCTGGTCGGTTGCTGAGGTCCCTTTATTTCCTTTTTCCGTGGTCTTACCGTGCATTGGGGTATTACTGCGGGTCTGAGCTCTGACGCCATCCATTGGCTGAAATGTGCACGTGTTTCTCTCACTCTCTTTTCCACCATAGAGCATCTCTCAACTGATGTTCCTGCTGAAGGAAACCTCTTCCCCCCCCCCCCCTTCCTCCGCTAATCCTGCTTGAGGAAGTGTCTCCCCCTTGTCACTCCTGCTTGAGGAAGCATCTCCCCCTTGCCACTCATGCTTGAGGAAGCGTCTCCCCCTTGCCGCTCCCGCTTGAGAAAGCGTCTCCCCCTTGTCGCTCCCGCTTGAGGAAGCGTCTCCCCCTTGCCGCTCCCGCTTGAGGAAGCGTCTCCCCCTTGCCGCTCCCGCTTAAGGAAGCGTCTCCCCTTTGCCGCTCCCGCTTGAGGAAGCGTCTCCCCCTTGCCGCTCCCGCTTAAGGAAGCGTCTCCCCCTTGCCGCTCCCGCTTGAGGAAGCGTCTCCGACTTGCCGCTCCCGCTTGAGGAAGCGTCTCCCCCTTGCCGCTCCCGCTTGAGGAAGCGTCTCCCCCTTGCCGCTCCCGCTTGAGGAAGCGTCTCCCCCTTGCCGCTCCCGCTTGAGGAAGCGTCTCCCCCTTGCCGCTCCCGCTTGAGGAAGCGTCTCCCCCTTGCCGCTCCCGCTTGAGGAAGCGTCTCCCCCTTGCCGCTCCCGCTTGAGGAAGCGTCTCCCCCTTGCCGCTCCCGCTTGAGGAAGCGTCTCCCCCTTGCCGCTCCCGCTTGAGGAAGCGTCTCCCCCCTACTGCTTCCATTTGAGGAAGCATCTCTCCCTTGCCGCTCCCGCTTGAGGAAGCGTCTCCCCCTTGCCGCTCCCGCTTGAGGAAGCGTCTCCCCCCTACTGCTTCCATTTGAGGAAGCATCTCCCCCCTGTTGCTCCTTCTTGAGGAATCATCTCCCCCCCCGCCGCTCCCACTTCAGGAAGCGTCTCCCCCTTGCCGCTCCCGCTTGAGGAAGCGTCTCCCCCTTGCCTCTCCCGCTTGAGGAAGCGTCTCCCCCTTGCCGCTCCCGCTTGAGAAAGCGTCTCCCCCTTGCCGCTCCCGCTTGAGGAAGCGTCTCCCCCTTGCCGCTCCCGCTTGAGGAAGCGGCTCCCCCTTGCCGCTCCCGCTTGAGGAAGCGTCTCCCCCTTGCCGCTCCCGCTTGAGGAAGCGTCTCCCCCTTGCCGCTCCCGCTTGAGGAAGCGTCTCCCCCTTGCCGCTCCCGCTTGAGGAAGCGTCTCTCCCTTGCCGCTCCCGCTTGAGGAAGCGTCTCCCCCTTGCCGCCGCTCCCGCTTGAGGAAGCGTCTCCCCCTTGCCGCTCCCGCTTGAGGAAGCGTCTCCCCCTTGCCGCTCCCGCTTGAGGAAGCGTCTCCCCCTTGCCGCTCCCGCTTGAGGAAGCGTCTCCCCCTTGCCCGCTCCCGCTTGAGGAAGCGTCTCCCCCCTGTTGCTCCTTCTTGAGGAATCATCTCCCCCCCGCCGCTCCCGCTTCAAGAAGTATCTCCCCCTTGCCGCTCCTGCTTCGGGAAACATCTCCTCCTTGCTGCACCTGCTTGAGGAAGCATCTCCCCTCTGCTGCTCCCTCTTGAGGAGGCGTCTTCCCTCTGCCGCTTCTGCTTGAGGAAATGTCTCTCCCCTGCCACTCCTACCTGAGGAAGCATTCCATGCTGCTCCTGCCTGAGGAAGCATCTCCCCTCTGCTGCTCCTTGAAGAAGCATCGCCCCCCTGCTGCTCCCACTTGGAGTCACATGGAAATTTGGTTCCTACTGCCAGTCTACAATGACTTAGGCCATGCTATCAGCTGCCTGGGTTTCATGCATACCTGAGTGCTCGTCTCTTACCCTGAGCCTATACATTACCTTACCATCAAGCGGTTGCAATGTCTGATTGTAGACCTATGGGAACAGTCCCACTATACCGGGTGCCTCCACCTCACATTCTATCAATGGTTCTGGGACTGCTGGAAGAATGCCTTCTGATGGTGCTGATGCCTACAGCTTGGAATCATGATATCCACTCATCTTAGAAGTCGGTTCCTTCCTGAGGTCTGCCTTGGCTCTGTCAGGTATGGTTGGGCCCTCTCCCCTCTCGGCTCTCTCCTTCAGATGAGGTTATTTCCATGCTGGAGTTGGACAGATCCCCCTCTTATTTACCGGATGCTAATTGCAGAGGCCTCAAGCGTGCCCCCCGCGCCCTCTCCTGCAGACTAGATCTGATTTGTTTGCGGCTTTAGAGGTTTCCCAGCCATCAGCCGCAGAGAATTTGTGAGTCACTCGGGTCCTTGACTGATGACCTTGAGGCGTGGCAGTCTACTGCTGGAACGGCCAAATTAAAGGAGACTTATTGGCTCTTATGGAAGCCGTGTACTACTCTGAAATTGCAGGATTGACCTATTTCTTCTATCGGTGCTGTTTCTAGTTTACGTTCCTTTAAAGACTTCCCCTTTGCACCCCTTTTCCGACTTTTTCTCCATGGAAAAATCTTATCCTGATTGTTCAAGCAGATTCTGCTGGCCAGTAATCGTCCAGATCCAGCAATTGGCTCCCTATGTTGATGCACACAGGAAAGCTCTATTTTGAGTCCATTCAAGGTGCCTGCTTTGACTGAAGCCCTGATGAAGGGGACGTTTGTTAGTGTTCGTTCAAACCAATACATTTTATCCTTTGGTCTCCTTCCGTTGCTGGAGGAGTCTCGTTTCCCAATCAGCATCTTGGAGCTTTGGGGAATTTGGTTGTCTCTGCAGCATTGGGGCATCCTACTTGGATCCTACCTGAATAAGCTGGTCAATGCCGTGGTTGGACATCAATCATCAGGGGTCCCCTGTGACTCCATGAGATCTGAATCCGGTCCTCTCTACCCCTCAGAAACGGATGTTGGAACCCATTGGAAACATTCAGTTCTCTATTCTTGTTTTTGTAGCCATCACTTCTGCCAGTTGAGTGTCTGAACTGGTGGCCTTACCCTGGTTCATTGGATTGAGGTGCCTGGTGTAGCTCCTGCCCTTCACCTCATTCAGGACATTTTCCTTCTCTTCCTCTGTCCAGCTGCAGTTGACCAAAAGAAAATTTTGTTCTATTGTCTGTATGTTTTAGGCTGTGAGATCCTACCTCTCACCTACTTTTTCAGAAAGGTGGATTTCCATTTTCTCGTCCCGGATGGTCCTCATAATAGAGCTCCGGCTTCTCGTTCCACCATCTCTCTGACAGGCCATTATTCAAGCTAATGGTCATAAGGATTTCACCCTTTCCCGTCAAGGAGCGCTCTATTTGATTTGTGAGGTTTTTTTTTCGGCATCCGGTTCTGATTTCCAGATTTGTAAGACTGCTAGTTGGCCCTTTATGTTCACTCATTCTCGAAGTTCTGCCAGGTGGACATTGTGGCCTTCCCTCTGTGACTTCCTTTAGGCGGCTCTTTGGCCCGCCGACTGTCCCCAATTGTTTTCTGTTTTCTTGGGACTGTTAGCAGTAGTTTGCTGTGTTGCCCCCCCCCCCCCCCCCCCCCTATTTAGAAATTCCTGAAGGTTGAAGGCTCGATTCACACTTGTGCGACTTTGGACACGACAAGTCGCAGCACTTTTCAATGGCACACATTGGTATCTCTGCAATGTAAAGTCGCATCAATTTTGAAAAGGTACCTGCAGTACTTTGATGCGAATTTTGATGAACTTATGTCCAGAGTGCAAAGTTGCATTCCAAAGTCGTCTTTGGAGTCACACAAACGGAGCCTGAAACTTCCTGTGTCCCTCAATGGATGAGAAGGAAAGAATAGGATACCATTGGGGGACACAACAATGCAAGAGGGCTAGGAGGCCCTGATCCTGGGAGCTGACAATCTAAGACACTGTACTGTAGGGTGACGTATTTAAAACAAAAAACATAAATAATAATATAAAAAATAAAATAAAAATGTAAAATACAAGTTTTGAAAACTTTTGATTTTTGGTTATAAACTAATTTTGGGTTTTTTTTCTACTAAAAAGCTGAATACATTTTGGCCGAGATTTATGAAGAAAGATTATTTATTTACAATATTTTATAAGAAGAACACTTTTTTTTTTTCAAAATGTTTGGATTTTTCATTTATATAGCAAAAAAATAAAACTCCCAGCGGTGAATAAATACCACCAAAATAAAGTTTTATCTGTCTCAAAAAATGTTAAAAATGTCATCTGGGTACAGTGTTGCATGACCGCGCAATTGTCATTCAAAGTGTGAGAGCGCTGAAAGTTGAAAATTGGCCTGGGGGGGAAGAGGGGGGGAAAGTGTCCGGACTGGAAGGAGGGGGAGTGTCCAGACTGGAAGGGGGGGGGGGGGGGGTGGAAGGTTCCGGACTGGAAGGGTGGGGGGAAGTGTCCGGACTGGAAGGGGGGGGGGGGGGGGGGGGAAGTGTCCGGACTGGAAGGGGGGGGGGGGGAAGTGTCCGGACTGGAAGGGGGGGGGAAAGTGTCCGGACTGGAAGGGGGGGGGGAAAGTGTCCGGACTGGAAGGGGGGGGGGAAGTGTCCGGACTGGAAGGGGGGGGAAATTGTCCGGACTGGAAGGGGGGGAAAGTGTCCGGACTGGAAGGGGGTGAAAGTGTCCGGACTGGAAGGGGGGTGAAAGTGTCCGCACCGGGAAGGGGGGGAAAGTGTCCGGACCGGGAAGGGGGGGGGGGAAAGTGTCCGGACCGGGAAGGGGGGGAAGTGTCCGGACTGGAAGGGGGGGGGAAAGTGTCCGGACCGGGAAGGGGGGGAAAGTGTCCGGACCGGGGAAGGGGGGGAAAGTGTCCGGACCGGGAAGGGGGGGAAGGTGTCCGGACCGGGAAGGGGGGGGGGGGAAGGTGTCCCGGACGGGAAGGGGGGAAGGTGTCCGGACGGGAAGGGGGGGAAGGTGTCCGGACTGGAAGGGGGGGAAGGTGTCCGGACTGGAAGGGGGGGGGGGGGAAAGTGTCCAGACCGGAAGGGGGGGGGGGGGAAGTGTCCGGACCGGAAGGGGGGGGGGGGAAAGTGTCCGGACTGGAAGGGGGGGAAATGTCTAATGTTTGGGGGTTCAAAGTCATTTTGTAGCAGATTTTTGCATGTAGGAGAGAAATGTCAGAATTGCTCCTGTGGCCCCTGAAGGGCCCTGGGAAGGATGTCATGGCGGGGACCTAATCCCGCTCTCTGCTCGGAGTTCACCTTTAGTACCCGCAGGGCAGGACGGCCGCGTTCGTTTCCAGCGGGAAGTCGTTGTACCTTTTGGCGATGATTTCTCCGGGAAGTAATACGTTTCTGGCGGTGGAATTATTTGCCTCAATATTTGTGTTGGGAACGTTTCAGGGAAGCAATAAGATTGGCGGCCGGAATGGGAAGACAATTGTTTGGGAACGTGGATGTCCTAGAAGTCGGATGATTTGGCTGCATTGAGCTCCACGCTGAGCAAACAACTAAATACACAAATGAATAGAGAGGAGATGTAATACATCACAAAGGATTTGTAGTTCCATCCAGTCCTGAGATTTACACAGTTCTGCTACACAGCACAGGCCTGTTTGGCAGGGTAGGTGACCTGATTTTTCCCTGCTTGAGGTCTTGTCCCTCTTCCAGCTTCTGATTGGACAGTGAAAGGAGAAGCAGCAGACTGATGAGCTAGTCTCTGTCACTCCGCTCTCTCCTCCTGTCAGTGACATACATCAGTATGACACAGCGAACACTCATCTCTGTATAATAGCGGCTCTGCGATGTGTCAGACCTTAGCGCTCTGACAGCGACTTCTCCCCGCCTGCCGTCACATGGAGCCGCAGAGTCATGGGTCCCGAACGTGAGATTGACGGAATGACGGAATTCGAGTTGTAACACCTTCTTATGTATTTTCTGCTTGACTGCAGGCCGAGACCAAAGCCCTGAGAGAGCGATCCGAGATCGAGAAGCAGGCGTGGGAGCAGAACTACATGAAGAAGGAGGTAAACACCGCGCCATTGTCTGCGTGTCTCCGAGTGATGGACGCCCTTCCTTAAAGGGACAGGACCCCCCACATGGAAGAGACGTTTATTATCCAGAGGAGCCGGGAAAGCATCGCACCCGAGAGGAGTACATGGCGGATACCGTGCGGGGCCCCTGCATGCCTCAGAATATCTGCTTGGTGTATGGGGAATAGGGGGTGTATGGGGAGTAGGGGGTGTATGGGGAGTAGGGGGTGTATGGGGAGTACGGGGGTGTATGGGGAGTAGGGGGTGTATGGGGAGTAGGGGGTGTATGGGGAGTAGGGGGTGTATGGGGAGTACGGGGGTGTATAATGTATGGGGTGTATGGGATTACGGGGATGTATGGGGTGTACGGGATGTATGGAATTACGGGGTGTACAGTGAGTATGGGGTATACGGGATGTTCGGGATAGTCTGGGTGTACGGGATATTCGGGGTGTACGGGATATTCGGGGTGTACGGGATATTCGGGGTGTATGGGATGTACGGGATATTCGGGGTGTACGGGATATTCGGGGTGTACGGGATATTCGGGGTGTACGGGATATTCGGGGTGTACGGGATATTCGGGGTGTACGGGATGTTGGGGGTGTACGGGATGTTGGGGGTGTACGGGATGTTCGGGGTCTATGGGGAGTTCGGGGTGCATGGGATGTTTGGGGGTGTATGGGATGTTTGGGGGTGTACGGGATAGTCTGGGTGTACGGGATGTTGGGGGTGTACGAGATGTTGGGGGTGTACGAGATGTTGGGGGTGTACGAGATGTTGTTGGGGGTGTACGAGATGTTGGGGGTGTACGAGATGTTGGGGGTGTACGGGATAGTCGGGGTGTACGGGATTTTGGGGGTGTACGGGATGTTGGGGGTGTACGGGATGTTCGGGGTGTACGGGATGTTGGGGGTGTACGGGATAGTCGGGGTGTACGGGATGTTGGGGGTGTATGGGATAGTCGGGGTGTACGGGATGTTGGGGGTGTACGGGATAGTCGGGGTGTACGGGATGTTGGGGGTGTACGGGATGTTGGAGGTGTACGGGATGTTCGGGGTGTATGGGATGTTGGGGGTGTACGGGATGTTGGGGGTGTACGGGATGTTCGGGGTGTATGGGATGTTGGGGGTGTACGGGATGTTGGGGGTGTACGGGATGTTCGGGGTGTATGGGATGTTCGGGGTGTATGGGATGTTGGGGGTGTACGGGATGTTGGGGGTGTACGGGATGTTCGGGGTGTATGGGATGTTGGGGGTGTATGGGATGTTCGGGGTGTATGGGATGTTCGGGGTGTACGGTCAAGCAGATATTCTGACAGGAAGCTTCAATGAACTACCACAGAGCTGCTGGGATTTGTAGTTCATTCACCCAACTCTGTGAATGAGTGACACGGCTGTGTGGGCGGAGCCCCGCACGGCTGCGCTGTTTTCAGATCTGACAGTATGGGGGGGGGCGCCTACTGATGGTGGCTGCTGTCTACCGGGAATAGGAGGAATGAAGGGGCGCCCGATGTCCAGAAGAACGAACTTTTGATGGTAGATTAGGAGGCATTTATTGAGTAACAAGTACATCAAGGCAACGCGTTTCGGGAGCCCTGAAGAAGGGAGAGTCCGTTCTCCGAAACGCGTTGGCTGGATGTACTTGTTACTCTCAATAAATGCCTCCTAATCTACCATCAAAAGTTCGTTCTTCTGGACATCGGGCGCCCCTTCATTCCTCCTGTTCCAAGTCTAGGTGTGGAAACGACCCCAAGGCCCATCCCAGAGAGGCAGCAGCCCAAATCCTAAGAGGGTTTACCACCAATATCCACCATTGGGTACAACTGACTAGAAGGACTTCTCCCCCCCCACCCCCACAACCACCCACCTACCACCCACCTACCACCAGTGACCCAGTCAGTCCAGCGCAGTCTTCAGCACAAACAAGATGTCTGCAGTCTGGATGTCATCCTCTCCTAGGTCTGTTCCGTCCTCAGAGTCCTCTTTGGCTCCGTTGGGTGTGGCACCCAGATTGAGGTTCATGTCATGGAAGACTTTATGGTCCAAATCACCCAATTATGATGGACTGCAGAGGCCACAGGAACCCTCCTATTGGCTGTTCTGTCCCTGTGAGGTTGCAGCGTACTGCTATTGCTCCCAACCAGAAGCCCCACTGCCTGCCCGACATCCGTTCCCAGCCACGGGACCCCACTGCCGCTGTCCGTTCCCAGCCACGGGACCCCACTGCCGCTGTCCGTTCCCAGCCACGGGACCCCACTGCCGCTGTCCGTTCCCAGCCACGGGACCCCACTGCCGCTGTCCGTTCCCAGCCACGGGACCCCACTGCCTGCCGTCCGTTCCCAGCCACGGGACCCCACTGCCGCTGTCCGTTCCCAGCCACGGGACCCCACTGCCGCTGTCCGTTCCCAGCCACGGGACCCCACTGCCGCTGTCCGTTCCCAGCCGCGGGACCCCACTGCCTGCTGTCCGTTCCAAGCCGCAGGACCCCATTGCCTGCCATTTGTTCCCAGCCGCAGGACCCCATTGCCTGCCATTTGTTCCCAGCCGCAGGACCCCATTGCCTGCCATTTGTTCCCAGCCGCAGGACCCCATTGCCTGCCATTTGTTCCCAGCCGCAGGACCCCACCGCCTGCTGTCTGTTCCCAGCCATAGGACCCCACTGCCTGCCATTTGTTCCCAGCCACAGGACCCCACCGCCTGCTGTCTGTTCCCAGCCGGGGGACCCCATTGCCCGCCGTCCGTTCCCAGCCACGGGACCCCCGCCACCTGCCCACCATTCATTCCCAGCCACAGTACCCCACTGCCCGCCGTCCGTTCCCAGCCGCGGGACCCCTGCCGCCTGCCCGCCGTCCGTTCCCAGCCACGGGACCGCACCACCCTCCGTCCATTCCCAGTCACGGGACCCCACTGCCCGCCGTCCTTTCCCAGCCACAGGACCCCACTGCCCGCCATCCGTTCCCAGCCGCGGGACTCCACTGCCTGCTGTCCGTTCCCAGCTGCGGTACCCTTGCCGCCCTCCCACCATCCGTTCCCAGCCACAGGACCCCACCACCCTCCGTCCCTTCCCAGCCGCGGGACCCCACCACCCTCCGTCCCTTCCCAGCTGCGGGACCCCACCACCCTCCGTCCCTTCCCAGCTGCGGTACCCCCCCCACCATCTGTTCCCAGCCGCAGGGCCCCGCTGCCTGACACCCCAGGCTATGGCCTTCCGCACTGCCTGACCCTGCTTTCTCCCACCACACCGACATGCGCTTCCATCATTCCCGCATTCATCGATCGGACATTTAATAAAACATCGAAGAAATAAAAGATAATTGGACTTCATTCCTTTCTGCCGATAATCCGGCTGTCCTCCTCCAATAGACAGACAGACGAATCTCGGAGTCCCATTTGTCGATGACTCTGACCTCATACTGACACGTCGTCATGGACGACTTTTATGGGGCAGTTACGGAACCTTTTCTCACCCCCCGTTGTTCCTGCAGGAAGCCTGGCTCCTGACCCGGGAGAGAGAACTGAAAGCCGAGGTCCGGAAGGGACGGGACAAGGAGATCGAAGTCGTGATTCAGCGTCTGGAGGCAGAGATGTCAACGGCAAGAGAGGAATGTGAGCGAGCTGCAGAGAGCAGGTGCAGAGAACGAATTCTTCTACCAAGCCGAACGCTGCCCTGCGGCCACAACTTAGATTTACGGCTGGAATATTAAAGTGGAATTCCGGATATACATCTAACCAGCCTTAGAACTGCCCCCCCCTCCCCCTCCTCTTCCCCCCCTCCCCCCCCCCCCCAACACCAACTATATACCTACCTATGTTCAGCCCACGTGGTCTCCCCTGGGTCAGGCAGTGCTGCTGCAGGGGAGAGGAGAGGGTGCCCAACAATGGCCGTGATGTCACCCATAGGCCTCAGTGGCCTTTCTGTTTTTGCTGCCCCCTCTTCTCCCCTGCAGCCATGCTCACTGACACAGGGAAGGTGGATCACATGACCGCAGCGGGCTGAGAATAGGTAAGTACAGTATATACATCTAGTATACACAGGTTAGTTAACCTAGGTGGGGGGAGGGCAGTATTAAACAAAAAAAAATATTGTGGCCCCCTGAAAGATGCTGCCCTAGGCAAATGCCTGGTTTGCCCCGCAGTAGTCACGCCCCTGCCCCAAACCATGAGGTAATCTGTGGTTCCTCATCGAGGGCTCTGCAGCAAGTCCCCAGGGGGTCCCGTTAAGGCCGATGGTGGGTAAATAACACCCCCACCCAGCTGACCCTCCATCTCTCCCACATATGTGGGGAAAGCACAGATCACAGCCCACCCTTCTCTCCTGACCACCCCAGGCACTTGTATGTGACATCACATGGGAGAGAGGAGGAGGACTGGGGGGGGTCGGTGCACCAGAAGAGCTAGAAATGTGTCTCCGCAGCTTCCCTGCGCTGCTCCGCGTGATCACATGACCCCATGGCCTGCTGCACCCTCCCCCAAATGCTGCTGATCTCAGGTTTGACCCAGAATGCAGCATCTGTGCAGAAAGTTCAAGAACGAGCGTCATGTAGGAGGCTTCATTATTCCTTCTATTTATTGCCGTTTCTAAAAATTATATCAGCGGCCGGCAGATCACACCGATGTCCCCAGAGCTGTAGACCCAAAAATGACATCAAGGGTTCCCCAAGATCTCAAGCTTTCTCCAAAGGGTCCCCCAAGATCTCAAGCTTTCTCCCAAGGGTTCCCCAAGATCTCAAGCTTTTTCTGAAGGGTTCCCCAAAATCACAAGCTTTCTCCAAAAGATTCCCCAAGATCTGAAGCTTTCTCCCAAGGGTTCCCCAAGATCTCAAGCTTTCTCCAAAAGGTTCCCCAAGATCTGAAGCTTTCTCCAAAAGGTTCCCCAAGATCTCAAGCTTTCTCCCCAAAGGGTTCCCCAAGATCTCAAGCTTTCTCCCAAGGGTTCCCCAAGATCTCAAGCTTTTTTCGAAGGGTTCCCCAAAATCTCAAGCTTTCTCCAAAAGGTTCCCCAAGATCTCAAGCTTTCTCCCAAGGGTTCCCCAAGATCTCAAGCTTTCTCCCAAAGGTCCCCCAAGATCTCAAGCTTTCTCCCAAGGGTTCCCCAAGATCTCAAGCTTTCTCCCAAGGGTTCCCCAAGATCTCAAGCTTTCTCCCCAAAGGGTTCCCAAAGATCTCAAGCTTTCTCCAAAGGGTCCCCCAAGATCTAAAGCGTTCTTCAAAGGGTTCCCCAAGATCTCAAGCTTTCTCCCCAAAGGGTTCCTCAAGATCTCAAACTTTCTCTCCAAAAGGTTCCCCAAGATCTCAAGCTTTCTCCCAAGGGTTCCCCAAAATCTCAAGCTTTCTCCCAAGGGTTCCCCAAGATCTCAAGCTTTCTCCCAAGGGTTCCCCAAGATCTCAAGCTTTCTCCCCAAAAGGTTCCCCAAGATCTCAAGCTTTCTCCCAAGGGTTCCCCAAGATCTCAAGCTTTCTCCCAAGGGTTCCCCAAGATCTCAAGCTTTCTCCAAAAGGTTCCCCAAGATCTCAAGCTTTCTCCCAAGGGTTCCCCAAGATCTCAAGCTTTCTCCCCAAAGGGTTCCTCCAAGATAAAAAGGTTTAGAAAGGTTGAAGTAATCACTTGATGCATTCAAACAATTGTGACAGATCCAGAATACGCTTTGCACTGGGGAGGCAGATCCAGAATACACTTTGCACTGAGGATGCAGATCCAGAATACGCTTTGCACTGGGGATGCAGATCCAGAATACGCTTTGCACTGGGGATGCAGATCCAGAATACGCTTTGCACTGGGGATGCAGATCCAGAATACGCTTTGCACTGGGGATGCAGATCCAGAATACGCTTTGCACTGGGGATGCAGATCCAGAATACGCTTTGCACTGGGGATGCAGATCCAGAATACGCTTTGCGCTGGGGATGCAGATCCAGAATACGCTTTGCGCTGGGGATGCAGATCCAGAATACGCTTTGCACTGAGGATGCAGATCCAGAGTACGCTTTGCACTGGGGATGCAGATCCAGAATACGCTTTGCACTGGGGATGCAGATCCAGAATACGCTTTAGACGGAGGATGCAGATCTTCATTATAGACTTACAGTGGCCCTAGGAAATGTGTGATTACTGGGGTGTCATGGCCGCTCCTTTGCCCGTATTGTCATGATATAAAGACGATCTCACTGTAGATCGACTCCCCTGGCTGACTGAGAGGTCACAAGTCTCACCACAAGATGTTTTCTGTCGCAGGATTAAACGAGTTCGGGAGAAGTACGAATCGGAGCTGCAGGAGATGGAGCAGTCGGAGCGGAAGCTGCAGGAGCGCTGCAACCAGCTGAAGGAGAGAGTGACGGAGCTGGAGGGGGAGCAGATCCGGCTGCAGGGGCTCCTGAAGCAGAGAGAGCAGGAGGTGGAGGACATCAAGAAGGTGAGGGGGGGCGCCGTGTGTCTGTGGATGAGATGTGGACCACAGAGGCGATGTACACCCTACAGTTCAATAATGGGGACTTACCCCTTCATATGGGGAGCTGGAGCCCGGGGACAGCATTGTATTCTTGTTTGGACCTGTTGCTGAGAATGTCTGCTTCTATGGTGACAACGCCGCCTAGGTGTGAGGCTCAGAGTTGTCACCGTAGGATGACAACATGCCAGTGCACAGTGGGCGGGACATTCAGGTTGATTGACGCCATTGCCAGGCACTCTAGCATAGTCACAGCACCAGACCCGCCCCCCAGATCAGCTGACGTGATCGAACGACATAATTGCACCCGATTGTAATGTGTATGGTACAGGGGCGGACTGGCACTGCCCGAGGGCCCGGGGTCAGTAGGGGGCCCCATGAGATGCCCCTGATACCTTTTTCACAGGATTTTTTGGGAAAGGACACAGGGGCCCCATGATCCCCTATTGCCCGGGGGCCCCATGAGTTGTCAGTCCGCCCCTGGTATGGTGACCCTATGGGCTCATGCACAGTGGTGGCTGGGGGGGGGGGGGCGGTAAACACAGGCAGGGCTGCTGTTAGAAACCACAGGGCCCCATACAGCCAACCAGACAGGGCCCCCTCATACAGTTTACTAGGCTTCAGTTATGAATGAACATAGTGAGTGATCGGTACCGATCGCTCATTGTGTTCATTCAGGAAAGGAAGGGGTTGGTAGATGTGACATATTTACTTGACCCTTCCCCCGGTCTCCATCCTGAAGGATCCTATTGGATGCTTGCAGCTGCCGGTAGGAAGGAGAGGAGGGAAGCCGGCAGCACTTTAGTAGATGGGGGGCACACAGGGGGGGAAACGGATGGTGTACAGGGAGGGGGATGGGTCATGGGTGTGGCTGGAGGGCGATTACTGAAGCTGAAAGCCAGCGGGATGCAGAGGAGAAGAAGCCGGATTTCAGCTGCTGTAGAGAAGAGCCATACGGGGGATCGGTTCCAGTAGTTGCCCCTCCCCCCACTGCCTTGCTGATCACATCCAATTCACCCAGCTGCCTGGGCCCCATACGGGAGGACTGTTGGTACCTCTTATCCCTGGCCCTGAACACAGGCAGGCTCAACCGCCTGGTTTTACCCCCCCCCCCCACCTAATGTGTGAACAAGCCCTTAGAAGGGATTTCCCGCACTTTGAGAAGATTCTTGTTCTCTTTATGAAGAGTTAGGGATAGGAAGGGGCCCCGTGGGGTGCGGAGAGGGTTGGAGCCCCGCGGGGAGCGGAGAGGGTTGGAGCCCCGCGGGGAGCGGAGAGGGTTGGAGCCCCGCGGGGTGCGGAGAGGGTTGGAGCCCGTGTGGAGCGGAGAGGGTCGGAGCCCTGCGGGGAGCGGAGAGGGTTGGAGCCGAGCGGTGAGGGTTGGAGCCCCGCGGGGAGCGGTGAGGGTTGGAGCCCCGCGGGGAGCGGTGAGGGTTGGAGCCCCGCGGGGTGCGGAGAGGGTTGGAGCCCCGGGGGGGGTGCGGAGAGGGTTGGAGCCCGTGGGGAGCGGAGAGGGTTGGAGCCCCGCGGGGAGCGGTGAGGGTTGGAGCCCCGCGGGGAGGGTTGGAGCCCCGCGGGGAGGGTTGGAGCCCCGCGGGGAGGGTTGGAGCTCTTCTCTATCCAGAATGTTAGAAAGCGTTGTTGTTGTTGTTCTTTATATACTTTTAATGCTGAATAGGAATATCCCTTTAAGAGATTAGGAGTTTCTGTCCCTTTTAATGAGCGCTCCTCTTTGCTGACCAATCACAGATCACAGACCGGTTAACTGAGGAGAGGAGGAGCCTATCAGATGTGATCCGCCAGGAGTTCGCCGACCGCCTGGTCATAACGGAGGATTTTTGTGTTTTGTGTGTTTTCTTTTTGTTTTTTCTTTGTGTGTTTTTTATTGGTTTTTTTGTTTTTTTTTTTTTTTGTGTGTATCTTCTTTCTGTGTGTGTTTTTTTTGTTTGTTTTGTTTTTTGTGTTTCTTTTTGTATGTGTTTTGTTTTTTGTTTGTTTTGTTTTTTGTGTTTCTTCTTTGTATGTGTTTTGTTTTTTGTTTGTTTTGTTTTTTGTGTTCTTTTTGTATGTGTTTTGTTTTGTTTTTTTTTTGTGTTTTTTTCTTGTGTGTTTTTTGTTTTGGTAAACCGAGATGCGCCTGTATCGCCTGGTAGAAGTAATGATGACATCATCACTGCTCTGCTTATGGTCTGACCAGAGCTGTGGGAGGGACCCAGCAAGCTCCACCCACTATAGGAGGGTAAGGGGGGGGGGGATACAATACCAGTCACCCGGGCAAGGTGTCTGATTTCCCAGCATGCACAGCTTGTCTCCTGAGGCTGCTGTGAGCTGCCCCATTTATAAGGCTGGAAGTGAGAATTGCAGAATCCAGAGGCCATCATTAATGGCCATGGTTTTGGAGTGAGATGTCCAACGAGTTCTGAGCCATGACCTCAACCCGACTGAACACCTCTGGGAAGGATTGGACCACCGATGGTGAGCCAGGTCCTCTCCTCCAACATCAGTACCTGACCTCACAAATGGGACAAATTCCCACAGACTCCTTCCACTCTTCTGGTAAGATCTTTCAGAAGATTTTGGAGGATGGCATAGCCACAAAAGGGACCAACGACATGGTTTGACCAGATTATTGTGGAGGAACTCCAGTGTCCTCCATGAATGAATTGGAAAATCTTGAGGAAAGCCTTCCAAGAAGAATGGAGGCTGCTATAGCTGCAAAGGGTGGGAAGTCCATCATTACTGGCCATGGTTTTGGAGTGAGATGTCCAACGGGTTCTGAGCCATGACCTCAACCCTACGGAACACCTTTGGGATGGATTGGACCACCGATGGTGAGCCAGATCTTCTCCTCCAACATCAGTACCTGACCTCACAAATGCTCTGCTGGCTGAGTGTCCACAGGCAGTAAAATGTCCCAATTCCCCTTTAAGGGGGCTGTCACTTTCGGGGTACTGAATAAACACCCCAAAGACCACCTTCCCATCATTTACATGTCCTTGTTGTCCCCCAGCTAGAAGGGCTGAGCCCTTGACCTCAGAAATTGTCCGGTGCAGGTTCGTGCCTCCTACATGCAGGAACATGGACTGTAGGCTGTTGCCGTGACTGTAATACGTGACCGCAGGTTTATACACACCAGACAGCCAGGCAGTTGGAATTTCTGAGTCCGCTCCCCACACTCCCCTCATCTCCTCCTGAATCGCTTCCAGGAACGTAACATTTCCCGTTTTTTTTCTCTTCAGGGTGAAATCTGCCATCGTGAAGAAAGAAGAGACGGTGAACAACCTCCGGAAGCAGTGCGAGGTCAGTGCCCAGGGAGCGGCATTAAAGTGGGACTCCGGATACTTCTCCTGTATTGGATATAGTGGAAGGATTTGAACCCAACAGAGACCCCTCCCCCCCCCCCTCTTTTCTCTAGGTTACCGTCCTGATGAGAGCAGTGAATGGATCTGGGTCGGGTTCTCATTGATCATGAGACAGTCAGGGGAGAATTCAAAAAGTAGGAAAGACCAGAACTTCCTGAAAAGGCCGTGCTGCACCTCAGCCGACATTTCAGGGCCTCACCAGAAGGGGAAGGGGGGGCGCCAGTGAGACCCAGAAACCTTGGAAGTACCTCCAAACCAGAAATGTCATCTATTGCAGCTTCCCGATCGTTACATGTGGCGGCTGCATTAGTTTTCTTCTTTTAGGTGATCCAGCCAGTAACACACTTCCTGAATTAGAACGCCCCACTCTGGAGGAAGGAGCACAGGGGGCACAGCATTGTCAGTCGTGGGGGGGGGGGGGGTGCTATTTAGATACACTAACACATTGAAGCCAAACTCCACCCCCCACTTTATAATCCATTACAGGATGAAGGTTTTACATCAATAAATAGAAGCCGATCATTGTAAGCGCCCCTGTCAGTGGTCATTGGTTGGTCTCAACCCTCCAACTGCTACATGTGCTTGTTCTGTTTAAAAACAACAGACTTATTGGCAGGATCACCAGGTGGAAAGAAACAAGAAAACGAATGCAGCCACCACTGAGAATCGGTAATCTGCATTATGTTTCCTACGGATTTCATTTGTCTTTTTCACGATATTTTCGATGTAACCTCAGTAATTGGCGGGGGTTGCGTCTGAAGTTCCGGCGTTGTGAGCGATGGCGCCTCACGCACGCTGCAGCCAATAGAAGACGCTTTTAGCGTTTGAGCTTTTCTCCACCTTTTCTCTCCCCTCCATGTTGTCTGTCTGTCCTCCTCACTGCAGCCATTTTCAGGAGTTTAAAGGCAGAAAAAAAAACATAATTTGTGATTTCAGGAGAGGCAGAAAAACTGCTCAAAAGTGGCAAAATGCGCTAATGCATCCCAATGGGCAGAATTCTGACCAATAGAATGAAAGCGTTCACTCCAGACACAGGAAGCTTTGTACTGAATACTCTGGAGGGGAAACATTTATACGTTTACAGTGAGCATGGAGTCCATATCATCCATTCACTCCAGACTGAGGCACGGCTGGGGCTGGATGGATTTGTTTACAGCGCAGAGTTCACAGGCAGTATACATGACCTCTCACCAGTACAGTGCCATGGTATGGAAGGGGGGGAAGGGCCCTGTAGGCAGGAAGGGGGGGGGGGAAGGACCCGGTATGGAAGGGGGGAAAGGGCCCTGTAGGCAGGAAGGGGGGGGGGGAAAGGACCCGGTATGGAAGGGGGGAAAGGGCCCTGTAGGCAGGAAGGGGGGGGGGGAAGGACCCGGTATGGAAGGGGGGAAGGGCCCTGTAGGCAGGAAGGGGGGGGGGGGGAAGGACCCGGTATGGAAGGGGGGAAAGGGCCCTGTAGGCAGGAAGGGGGGGGGGGGGGGGACGGACCCGGTAAGGAAGGGGGGGGGGAAGGACCCAGTATGGAAGGGGGGGGGGAAGGGCCCTGTAGGCAGGAAGGGGGGGGGGGGAAGGACCCGGTATGGAAGGGGGGGGAAGGACCCAGTATGGAAGGGGGGGGGGGGAAGGGCCCTGTAGGCAGGAAGGGGGGGAGGGCCCTGTAGGCAGGAAGGGGGGGAAGGGCCCGGTATGGAAGAGGTGGTGGGGAGGGCCCTGTAGGCAGGAAGGGGGGGAAGGGCCGCAGCAGAGAGGCGGGGCTATGACCTCCGCACCCCGCACTGTCTGTGGGCAGTAGGGATTTCTGTGCTGAGATCGCTCTCACTGACCACTCCCGGCACAGTCACTGAGCTGACAACGACAGCTCCTGCTCTCCAGCAATGATTGGGAGCCGGTGGGACCCTCTCCCAATCATGTGACCCCTGACAGTCACTCACAGTGGTCATGTGGTCAGACACACCCTCCTGTCCCTCCAGGCATAATAGCCGAGTGAAAGGGATTCTGGGGCTGGACGAGGGGGGGGAGGTAAATACCTAATCTAGCCCAGCTTGGCCCAAACAAACAGTTTCCTTCAATAGTGTCTGCTGTCAGCGCCGTATAATCTGTAACTTCTGCTCCATACAGCGCCGTGTTCCGGCAATGGTACAAGGTCTACACATCATCTGCCGGAACAAAAATGGTCAGGCTGAGCGCTGCTCATCCATTCACAAGAAGCTTTGTATTTTTATGAATGAATACAAGGCTTCCTCTGATTGGTGAGGTGGAGAGATGGGCAGATTACATCACCATCTTCACTCCAATCAGAGGAAGCCTTGCATTCAATAAAATAAAAAACAACACTTCCTGTGAATGGATGAGCAGCGCTCAGCATGACTTGATTTTGCTGTGGGAGGGGGAGGGGCAGTCCCTGTGCTGCTGATGCTCCCGCCGTCGGCTCTCTCTATTGGTCCAACCAAACTATTGAAAGCTGAACTTCTCTCTCCATCTACATGGAACATTCTAATCCTTGTACCTTCCCATCCATTCACCAGCAGCAGAGCAGATTTACTGGTTTCTGGCCTAGGCAAACGAGGTCATACATCCCAGGAGGGGAGGGAGGTTCTCAGCTCAGCCAATGCCTGAGCTAAGGGCAGATGGATTCCAGGAAGGAAATGCTACATGAAGCATCTGCCCTTACTCAAGATGGCCGCAGCCAGAAATGCCAGGAGGTGTTATTTCTAAATGTCTCTGCAGAATAGAGCATGGAGGGACATGGATGGAGGGATGGATGGAGGGACATGGATGGAGGGATGGATGGAGGGAGACATGGATGGATGGATGGATGGAGACACGGATGGATGGAGACACGGATGGATGGAGACACGGATGGATGGAGATATGGATGGATGGAGACATGGAGGGATGGATGGAGACATGGATGGATGGAGACACGGATGGAGACACGGATGGATGGATGGAGATATGGATGGATGGATGGAGACATGGATGGATGGAGCATGGATGGATGGATGGAGACACGGATGGATGGATGGAGACATGGATGGATGGATGGAGACATGGATGGATGGATGGAGACATGGATGGATGGAGGGATGGATGGAGACATGGATGGATGGAGCATGGATGGATGGATGGAGACATGGATGGATGGATGGAGACATGGATGGATGGAGACATGGATGGATGGAGGGATGGATGGAGACATGGATGGAGACATGGATGGATGGATAGATGGATGGAGACATGGATGGAGACATGGATGGATGGATAGAGACATGGGATGGATGGAGGGATGGATGGAGACATGGATGGATGGATGGAGGGATGGATGGAGACATGGATGGATGGAGGGATGGATGGAGACATGGATGGATGGAGGGATGGATGGAGACATGGAGGGATGGATGGAGACATGGATGGATGGAGGGATGGATGGATGGATGGAGACATGGTTGGATGGAGGGATGGATGGAGACATGGATGGATGGAGGGATGGATGGAGACATGGATGGATGGAGCATGGATGGATGGATGGAGACATGGATGGATGGAGACATGGATGGATGGAGACATGGATGGATGGAGCATGGATGGATGGATGGAGACATGGATGGATGGATGGATGGACAGATGGAGGAGTTCGATTTGTGGCGCTCGGTTCCACTTTAAAGTGACGGCAAAGTTGGAGTTTGGCTTTAAAAAAAACTTAAAAGGCAAACAGGTGTCATGGCGGCGAGTTACTGAAATGTGAGAGCGCAAAACCTGGGGCCGCTGTGCATGGGAGCCAATCAGCTTCTACCGCCAGTTTGTTCCATGAAGCTTTGCCAATAAAAGCTGGAAGCTGATTGGTTCCTCTGCAGAGCCGCCCAGATTCGGCCCTCTTGGTAAATCCCGCCCTTTGTGTCCAGTGAGCCCCATTCACAGCTGAGCGCTCTGCAGCTCGAAGCGCCAAAACACTGGAGGAGAAAGAAATCGATGATTCTCCAGGATGACGGTTCACATCTCCTCGCCGAGTCGCCTGAAGTCCAAAACAAACTCTGGAGCTTTATTTGTAGCTCAGATTGGGCAGATTTGAGTGTTTTTGGCGCCTTTTTATTCCCATAGAAATGCATATTTTTACACACATTTTGCATGATTTTCTGCTCAAATTTAAAAAAAAAAAAAAAAAAAATAATATATGAATAAAAAAAAAATGTAAAATATATAAATAAATCCACAAAAAAAGCTAAATAATTAACACCTAATGTTAACCCCCCAACCCTAAAAAATATATAAATGATTATTAATAATAAACACCCAATCAAAAAAAAAAAATAATAATGATAATTTTATTAAATTTTTTTAAGGGGTAATGTTTTGGGTTATTTCTTATTACTTTGTATTTCTGATTGTTTTTGTGTATTTATATTACATTTATTTGTTTATTAACAAACTAACAAAATAATAAATAAGAAGATAATAAATTATATGTATAAAAATGTTTGTTTTTTTTTTCAATGGTTTTTGTCTTTTTTCAGCCAGAATAACTATGTAACTATATTAACATAACAAAAATAATAATAAAATAAATTGAATACTGATGGAAAAGCTAGAAAAGCAGCAAAACCCAGAAAGATGATAATTTCTCTATTGGCTAATTAAAGAAAAAAACACGACGCTCAAAAACTCTGTATGGAAATGCGCAAAAATGCGTAAAATGTCGCAGAATGCGCTCCGGTGTGAATGCAGCCTGACTCCATAGATGGGGGTCTCTGGTGCGATGAGGATTCTCTCTGATGTCTCTCTCCTCTTCCCTGCAGGCGGCGGTGAAGCGAGCCGACCACCTCGAGGCCTTGCTGGAGCAACAACGCAAGCAACTGTTATCCAAATAGCACCCCCTCCCCCCACCATGACGGCCGGATGTGGCTCCCCGTGACGCTGCTGCAGGATTTTAGTTTGTTTTATGTTCCGGACACATTCGCGTTTTTACCTGTTAAATATATATTTTTGTTTTTGTACGACTTTGTCTCGTGTTTTGACTTTAAAACCCGAATTGAACTTTCGGTTTCCTTTTGGCTCCACCCATTGCAGGTCCATCGAAACCAGAAAGGTGCGCAAAGTCTTCTTGGAGGACCACAGGCCATTCGAAGTAAATGGTCTCCAGCACTCAGTCCTGCCCCCAGCACAGTACAGGGTTGTCACAAAGATCTAGGAATTGCCCCCCTCCCCCCCCATGGGTAGAATCGCCCCCAGAGCCAGAGGGGGCTTTAGGGCCGCTGACAACGGACTTCAGTCCTGTATGGATGGCATCAGTCCCAAGACACTGCTGGGCTCATCCAGAATCCATTGCTGGGTGCAGGATTTGTATTCTCATAGACTTGTATAGGAATGCAATAAAATACATCGGCAACACCGACCATTATACTGCCCCCTATAGTCCTGGGGGACCAACCCCTCAACTCTGCACCTTGCACCCCCCATAGGTCAACATTGGTGTATGTCTACCCTTCCATGCAGGGGTGCAAGTACACTATATTGGCCCAACGGATTGTCCCCGCCCCCTAAATCATGTCATTCAGGTGTTCCAATCCCCTCCATATCATGTGATTCAGGTGTTCCAATCCCCTCCATATCATGTGATTCAGGTGCTCCAATCCCCTCCATATCATGTGATTCAGGTGTTCCAATCCCCTCCGTATCATGTTATTCAGGTGCTCCAATCCCCTCCCAATCATGTGATTCAGGTGCTTCAATCCCCTCCGTATCATGTGATTCAGGTGTTCCAATCCCCTCCATATCATGTGATTCAGGTTGTTCCAATCCCCTTCATGTCATGTGATTAAGGTGTTCCAATCCCCTCCAATCATGTGATTCAGGTGTTCCAATCCCCTCCATATCATGTGATTCAGGTGTTCCAATCCCCTCCATGTCATGTGATTCAGGTGTTCCAATCCCCTCCATATCATGTGATTCAGGTGTTCCAATCCCCTCCATATCATGTGATTCAGGTGTTCCAATCCCCTCCATGGACACAGGTGTATACAATCAAGCCCCTAGGCATGCAGACGGCTTCTACAAACATTGGTGAAAGAATGGGTCGCTCTCAGGAGCTCAGTGACTCCAAGCGTGGTCCCGTGATAGGTGGCCACCTGGGCAATAAGTCCATCCGTGACATTTCCTGGCTACTAAATATTCCCACGCTCAACTGTTAGTGGGATTATAACAAAGTGGAAGCCACTGGGAACAACAGCCACTCAGCCACCAAGTGGTAGGCCACGTCACATGACAGGGCGGGGTCAGCGCATGCTGAAGCGCACAGTGCGCAGAAGTCGCCAACTGTCTGCAGAGTCAATAGCTAAAGACCTCCAAACTTGGTGTGGCCTTCAGATGAGCCCAACAACAGTGCGTAGAGAGCTTCATGGAATGGGTTTCCATGGCCGAGCAGCTGCATCCAAGCCTTCCATCACCAAGTGCAATGCAAAGCGTCGGATGCCGTGGTGTAAAGCACGCCGCCACTGGACTCTAGAGCAGCTGCATCCAAGCCTTCCATCACCAAGTGCAATGCAAAGCATCGGATGCCATGGTGTAAAGCACGCCGCCACTGGACTCTAGAGCATGGAGGCGTGTTCTCTGGAGTGATCAATCACGCTTCTCTGTCTGGCCATCCGATGGACGTGTCTGGGTTTGGTGGTGACCAGGAGAACGGTACTTGCCTGACTGCATTGTGCCAAGTGTAGAGTTTGGTGGAGGGATTATGGTGTGGGGGTGTTTTTCAGGGGTTGGGCTTGGCCCCCTAGTTCCAGTGAAGGGAACTCTTAAGGTGACATTTTGGACAATTTCATGCCCCCAACTTTGTGGGAGGAGTTTGGGGATGGCCCCTTCCTGTTCCAACATGACTGCCCACCAGTGCACAAAGCAAGGTCCATAAAGACATGGAGGAGCCAGTTTGGGGTGGAGGAACTTGACTGTCCTGACCCCATATATATAGAGAGAGCGAGCGATGATATAGGTGAAGTGCACAACGGTGACCAATCACAGCGCACAGCAGTCAGGCCCTCCCAGAGGCCATATAAAGAAAAAAAAGTTAGAAAATAGATTTCTGCACATAGAAGGACTTTTAATGTAGAAAAATCACCATCCAAACAAGGGATCAAAAATGGACAAATCCGTCCATAATGGGGTTCAACTAACCGTTTGGGGCTTTTATGATCCCACCTTCCACAGATCAGAAGACATTGAGGTGAGAAATACAACTATGATCAATATATACCGACGTCATCACGGGAAGGAATTATATAACGATCCACAAACTGAACGCACCTCAGATCTGCATCTTCCAATCAATGTGAATATTCTGTCCAGAAGAAACGTCCTCAAATCACAGATGTGGAACGCAGACAGAAGTACCAAATATAACAAACATTTATACATTCAGCAAAAAATAGATTTTAGAATAAAAGAAAAATGTAAATAAGGAATATAATATATATATACACACAAAAAAAAGCAAAAAAAACGAAAAAAAAATCTAAATTCCATTGAAAAAAATTTTAAGAAATAAAGTCAAATCGAAATCCAAATGGAACCCTTCGGGGTCACAGAGTCTCCCGACTTCGATTTATAGTAATTGATGGACTTTCTAAGAAAAGATGCAGAAATAATAGAGAATTACAACTCAGAACTCCGGAGACTCAATGGATCCGCCGATTGGATACATTAACCCCTAAAGGGTTCAATTCGGATTGGACGGATTTCTCCATTTTTGATCCCTTGTTTGGATGGTGATTTTTCTACATTAATAGTTCTTTTATGGGCAGAAATCTTCTTTCCTTTTTTTCTATCTATATATTAATCTGGGAATTAGCCATGTTTTGTGTTCTTGCCCCGACGATGGATTTGTGAGCCCCCGACGATGGATTTGATGGATTTGTGAGCCCCGACGATGGATTTGTGAGCCCCCGACGATGGATTTGATGGATTTGTGAGCCCCGACGATGGATTTGATGGATTTGTGAGCCCCGATGATGGATTTGATGGATTTGTGAGCCCCGATGATGGATTTGATGGATTTGTGAGCCCCCGACGATGGATTTGATGGATTTGTGAGCCCCGATGATGGATTTGATGGATTTGTGAGCCCCGACGATGGATTTTTGTGAGCCCCCGACGATGGATTTGTGAACCCCCGACGATGGATTTGTGAGCCCCCGACGATGGATTTGTGAGCCCCGATGATGGATTTGATGGATTTGTGAGCCCCAACGATGGATTTGTGAGCCCCCGACGATGGATTTGTGAGCCCCGACGATGTATTTGTGAGCCCCCGACGATGGATTTGTGAGCCCCCGACGATGGATTTGTGAGCCCCCGACGATGGATTTGTGAGCCCCGACGATGAATTTGTGAGCCCCCGACGATGGACTTGTGAGCCCCGACGATGGATTTGTGAGCCCCCGACACGTGTCGGTTATACCTCCTGACCTTTGGTGGCGCTCTCGTCCTTTTCTAGCTACACCAGAGAGTCATCCATAGGCAGAGCACATAGTATCACATATATGAGCCAATAGAAATCCTCCATCCATCGGCTTCCACAATTATACCAATTAAAACAATTCTTTCCTAAGTCACTTTAATATTTCATTTTAATTTCTATGAGCCAATCTTGCCGGGAATGTTGTTCCTCAAGTTTAGCCCCGGCTGCTTCTAAGCCGATTATATATATATATATATATAGAGAGAGAGATATATATCTACATCTATATATAGAGGCGGTATAATCCCGCCGGGACATATCTGACACAAGCCAGGAGAAGGTGTCACTCCAGAAAGTCATTACATTCCTTGCCACGCCCGCGGCTTGCAAAATTGTTTAAATATTTGCAGACTTTCTATAAAGTGAAACCTTGTAATGCGGATTTATAAGGCGGGCGATCCTTTCCCCGCATACCTGACCCGAGTCATGGGAATTGCGCAGACGCCTTTTTTTTTTTTTTCTGCAAGCCTTTAATCCGAGTCTTTTGTGCCGTTTGCACCAAGTTGTAAATGTTGCCATAGCAACATTCACTGACACAAACAGAAAACCGATGGGCCCCGTTCACACTTAGGTGACGCCACCACGAGGTATTTTTGGTGATTTTTTTTTTTCAGCACATTTTTGGCGCAGCTCCATTCGCGCTGCTGTACAGTGTGGTGTATGAAGTGTCATTTTGTGCATTTCTAATAAAGTTATATTTATTATGAAAATGTCTAATTATGTAAATTTATAATACAAAAAAAAAAAGGATTGAACATAAGGAAAATGTAAACAAACATTTTGATATTGATTTTTATTTTCTTAAACAGATTAATTTCAGCATCTGAAAACTCCCGTTCTGACTTTATTTTTTTAAAATTGGAAATACAAATTAGAACAAATAGTATTGAACATAATAAAGAAATAATACAAAAAAAAAGATATCAAATCAGCGAAATGTAGTTCAGGATGTTTGTTGCACTTTGTATATTATTATTATTATTATTATACAGTATTTATAAAGCCCCCATAGTTGGCTCAGCGCTGTACATTACAGAGGGGGACAGAACATGTGACAGAACAATACCAATACAATGTGATACATGAGGGGATCGAGGGCCCTGATCCTGGGAGCTTACAATCTAGGAGGGAGGGGATGGTGGCACAGGAGGAGATAGCTGTGGGGGGATGGAGTGGTAGGAAGAGTGGAGGAGGTCGGCAGGTTAGCAGGGGGTGGGGTAGGCTTCCCTGAAGAGATGGGTTTTCAGGGTGCGCCTAAAGGAGAGGAGAGTAGGTGATAATCTGATGGGTTGGGGCAGGGAGTTCCAGAGGATGGGTGACACCCTGGAGAAGTCCTGGAGGTGGGCATGGGGAGGAGGAGACCAGGGAACTAGAGAGAAGGAGGTCTTGTGAGGAGCGGAGTGTGCGTGTTGGGTGGTACTTGGATATTAGGTCAGTGATGTAGTTCGGGGCAGTATGGTGGACGGCTTTGTACGGCAGTGTTAGGATTTTGTATCTGATCCGTTGTGCAATCGGAAGCCAGTGGAGGGATTGGCAGAGGGGGGTGGAGGCCAGTGAAGGGATTGGCAGAGAGGGGTGGAGGACACTGAATGGAGGCCAGTGGAGGGATTGGCAGAGGGGGGTGGAGGACACTGAATGGAGGCCAGTGGAGGGATTGGCAGAGGGGGGTGGAGGACACTGAATGGAGGCCAGTGGAGGGATTGGCAGAGGGGGGTGGAGGACACTGAATGGAGGCCAGTGGAGGGATTGGCAGAGAGGGGTGGAGGCCAGTGAAGGGATTGGCAGAGAGGGGTGGAGGCCAGTGAAGGGATTGGCAGAGAGGGGTGGAGGACACTGAATGGAGGCCAGTGGAGGGATTGGCAGAGGGGGGTGGAGGACACTGAATGGAGGCCAGTGGAGGGATTGGCAGAGGGGGGTGGAGGACACTGAGTGGAGGCCAGTGGAGGGATTGGCAGAGGGGGATGGAGGACACTGAGTGGAGGCCAGTGGAGGGATTGGCAGAGAGGGGTGGAGGCCAGTGAAGGGATTGGCAGAGAGGGGTGGAGGACACTGAATGGAGGCCAGTGGAGGGATTGGCAGAGGGGGGTGGAGGACACTGAATGGAGGCCAGTGGAGGGATTGGCAGAGGGGGGTGGCGGAAACGGAGCGGTTGGAAAGGTGAATGAGTCTGGCAGCCGTGTTCAGGATGGACTGAAGCGGGGATAGCCTGTGGTGAGGCAGGCCAGTGAGGAGGGAGTTGCAGTAGTCGAGTCGTGATATGATGAGGGAGTGGATGAGCTGTTTAGTGGTTTCTGGGGTTAGGAACGTGCGGATTTTGACGATGTTGTTGTTGAGGTGGAGTCTGCATGTTGCGGAGGCGGAGTCTGCATGTTGCGGAGGCGGAGTCAGCATGTTGCGGAGGCGGAGTCTGCATGTTGCGGAGGCGGAGTCTGC